CCAACCATCATATTTAAAATATAAGATTTCTCCTGTTATTCTCTACTTCAAAGCCATTGTTGTTTCCTCCATAGAATATCTAGGAACTTTTTTCATTTTATTTTACCTAACTTTTTTTATCAGTATTCCTTACTAGAAATAAATACCATGAGTGCATGGACAATGTTTGCCTTACTTATCCTTTTTCCTCCATCATCCAGATATTAAATTCTAGAAAACAATACTTAATAAAATAAGGCAAATGTAGAAGTAATATATATAATTCCCCTTTTTAAAGAAATAATGTTGGTTTAATGAAATTGCAATTTGATCAGAATCCTGACATAATCATATGTTGCACACTTTAAATAATATAATTTTTATTAAAGAATACTGTAGATTAGTATAAACATCTCTGTAAACTGACAATGCACACTGTATAAACTCAGTCCATTTTGATCACTTACCTATATGTATTGATCTCCACTGTATTTATACTCTCAAAAAATGTTAAGAACACAATGAAAAACGCCTATTACTATAGAGGTTTGGTTGATGTACAGTGTGGAACAGTATCTATTCTTGGGACAAATGGAGTATATAGTTAGTAGTACTCAGTGTGTGAAGAAAGAGAAAGAATAAGAGCATGGTTGAGATATGATGCCTGTCTTAGGGAAAGAGGATTGGTAGAAGGAAATACAAGAAATTTATGATTCCTTTTGTACTTAAGTAGTTTATACTTGCAATGATTATTGAAGAAATAAACATTTCTACTCTAATATTTTTCTTACTGTTTAACTTTTTAACATGTAAGTAACACAAAATTCTTTATAGATGAAGATTGAAAATATAAAAACAGTAAAATATGTAATTTAAACATTAATTTTGTTTTGTACCATTAGATATACATTTTTCCTCCTAGGAAAATTCAAATAAATATGTTCTACTGAGGTTACTTCTAGCTTGAAGAAGAGATCTTTAAAGGACATTGTATAATTTTTTTGCAAGAAAAAGATTTTAGATTTAGTCTTATCCCCAACCCAGAGGAAACAACACTTAGATGATCAATGCATATTAATGACATTTTCTCTTTCTACTTCAAATACTAATCATAACAACTAATTACACAATTAATTATTTCAATTTGTAAATGTATAACAAAATTACATTCCAAGTTGTTTTTAACCACATGAAGGCATGTGATTAAAATCTCCTGTACCTTTACAGCTATGAAGTTTATTCCTGTAAGTGAATTTTATAAGTGAAATTCTTTTAGAAATATTCTTTGTAAATCATATAGTTTTCCTTACTTAACAAATTTTTAATGTTTTCAGTAAAGGTCACTCTTGAACTTTCTAAAAAAATTTCAACTCCTTCCTTTCTATTACTATAAGAACAATATTTAGTTTTATAATTTGTGAACAATACTTATAGCAGTTAACTAATTTTAGGCTACAAATTTTTATTAAGCAGGCATTTTTCTGCTTAGGCATGTTCACCTGTATTTATATACAACTTAGTGAATTTTACACTCAATTCATCCAAAGTAATAAATTCAATGAAACTAACAAATCAGACTACTGTTTTGCTTGTTTCATTTGGCACTTAATTCCCAGAAGGAAAAATGATAAATCCACACAATCTTGGTAGTAAAAGAAGCTCACTAGATTCTCATATCCAAACCATATTTCGATTTAATGAATTACTTGAGTATCTGATTGATGATGAGCCACACCCTGAGAGATGCATCAACTCTTTCAGGCTATACAGTACTGTTTGCTAAAGTAGAGTAATCTTTGAATAAATGGACCCCTGGTGGCTACTAAGCACTTTAATTGATATACATGGTTACTTACGTATGAAACAAAACTGTATTTTATATTCATCTAAGCGTTAGTACAGAGATAAAAGTTTATATATATTGAGAAGACAAAATGTGTTATTTTAAAATAAAATTGCCAACACCTAATAAACACTGAGGTCTTAAATACAGGGAAAATTATTAGAGTAAGAGAAATATGAACACAAATCATGTTTTCACTTACTAAACAGATGAGTGATCTAGGAAGCAACTCTACTTTCTGATCAATTCAAGGAGGTTGGGTAATAGGAAGACAGAGTCAAATTGATTTATTTCGTCTTTATAGTGCACAGCTTCACAGCCAGTTAAAAGACAAGAGAAAAGATTGCTTCCTATAGTCAAGTTACTCTTAGCACCATGTTAAGCACCATGTTAAAAATGAGGTAGTTCACTTTTTTGTCATTATCATTATTTTACCCAGTCTAAGTATGGACAACTAGGAGGGGGGGAAGAAGGTGAATCCATTCATTTTAATCATGAAGAATTTTATATAATTTGGTAAAAATAGGTAAGTAATATTTTAAAAAAACTTACTTCGTTAACATCCTTAAGTAAACGGCCAAGTAACATAAAAATAAAATTCTACCCTTCATAAAGTAACAAATTTTAAAAATAAAACATGAATTCCATTAGCTCTTAAAATGAAAAGTTACTAGGAAAATGAACACATTTTCTTGAAATTAACTATTAATCATATTACTGATATTTATTAGGTATATTACATATCTAATTTATATTTCACATTAATCTTTCTATATTTTATATATATTATGATTCTGCAATACCCCATATTTTCAAGGTTCAAAAATTGGAAAGTTATATTTTGATTCATGTTATCTATGAAACTACAAATTAAAAAAAATGCCCAAAATGTCCACAAGAATAAAATTTTGAAGTTTGAAATTTTATTAACTATTAGTGTGATCAATTCAGTATTTGAAAGTTATTTAAAGGTATTATAAGGCATAATTTCTAATCACGGTGACTTAGGTTGTAAAAAGCATTTTATAAGTAACCATTTATGTCTGATGAAAAAATCTAAGCACACTTTCTCCTGAGTCTTCTTTTGAAGACTCTAAATTTTACCCAACTTGGCCTTAAGCTACTATTTTACCCAAATGTAACCTTATGCATAGCCTGTTTTTAGCACATGAACAGAAATTCAAATTAAGAGTTTCACTAAACTATCTTTAATGATCCTATTTAATAGATAGGTAAACTGAGTAATATTCATTCATTATCATTAAGTTAAGCTAATTGATAAAAAAAACACCCGTAAGTTATACATACTTGGTAAATATTGTAGGTAAAATGTCTTTTAAACGTATATGAAAGTCATCAAAATAGATATAAAAAAATTACTGCAAGAGGTTAACAAGTAACTCTTCTATGCCCTTAACATGAATATCTGAAAGGTTATACTTTAATACTTGACATATTTTGGTAGAATGGCACATTAGTCATTTGTAGATTCAGAGTGTGTTTTACTAGTATTTTGTATCCTTGAGGCTTAGGGTGGTCACTGATGTCTCTTAGGCACTTAATGAATAAACACATGTTGACTGAGGGAAACTACTGCATGGAAATAACTTCTAATAAACTTGACTCTCAAAGTATATCTCTTTTAGTAGCCCTAGAATAGATACTAACATAGGGTATAATATTTAAAAATTATTTTTCTCTCCTTAAAATGTAAAAAGACCAAGTAAATAATTGTTATTTTTAACAATCTATTTTCACACAGGTTGATTCAGTTAACTACCCCTTTGATATTTAATGCCAATACCCGTTAAAAACAATTGAGGGATATATGTGAAGAATAGGAGAATATGGAACTATAGGGGGCACTTAGGTGATACATCTTCAAAGACATGACGGTGGTGTATGATTTCCAAATTTACGCAGGCTCTTGCGATTGCAATCTGGCAGGTAAAAAAACAAACACACATTGCAAAAATAGAAAATGTTAAGGAAAACATGCCAAAACTACAAATTGTATAAATGAAAACAATTGAATATTGATTCTGAATATTCCTAAATAAAAGTAAATGGTCATATATGATTACGGCAAAAAGAAAGCTGTGTTATTTTACTTGCCTTCTCTCTTAACCTTCTCACCCTCACAAAAATGTGCACACTCTATGTCATCTGAGCTCCATTTTTATATCTGCAGATTATTCCAAGGCCTTATATGTTAAATAATAACTATAATTGAAATTTTATAACTGAAGTCTTTAGACAAGTGTGACATAACAGGTGACATATTGGTGGTCATCACATTGCCAATGAGAGCATCCAGCCAGGTACATGCTGGAAAACTTTTACGGTTGTTCACTGCTTAGTCTAAGAGGGTTTAGATTATGCAGGTGATATTTTTATAGATCTTTAAAAATCATAGATCCAAGATACGTCTCATAAGAAGTTTGAACAGAAGAAAAGAAATAATCAAAAATTCTAATTACCTCTCATTCTGTAAACCTGACTTTCACTTTTCACACACTATTCACACCTTTATTTTACCACTTTACCTACTAAAACAGTCTTCCTCCAAAAAAAATCTACCAGAGACTGGATTTTAGAAATAGGATATTCACAACTTGGATATTCACACTTAATGCTTCTCTCCCTCTACCCGCTTCGCGCACAAGAAAAAAGAAACCACAAACACACTGACCTAGGAATGGTTTCAAACAAGTCCACTACGCTTGGTCTGGATGGGACTAGGGGGCCGGCTGAGGAGAGGCGAGGGCAGCAGAGTGACCGGGGCAAAAGCAAGTATCTGGTCCTAGGGCAGAGCGAAAGCAATTTGCTTTCCTGAAGGCATGTGAGACCCTACACTTCACCCAGCTCGGAGCGGCCGGCCACCAAGAGCCAGAAGTCTCCATTAAGCGCGTGCCAGGAAGACTGGCCTCCTGTGGAGCGGCCCTCGGCTGCCGCTGAGGCTCACGCATCCCCGTAAAGACAAGTGAAAGCAGTAGGGACCGAAGTCCCAGGCCATGTGGACAGGGCGCTCTGGTGAGAGCACATCCTGGACCCTTCTGGGAGCGAGCCTGGGGAAACTATACCGGGACGAAGTTACCTGCAGGAGGCGACCAGTGCACCGATGCTCAGAGCACCCACCTCCTCCGGCCCCTCCCGCTTCTCCGCCCCCGTCCCTTACCTTGGTTGTTGGAGACGTGGCTGCAGTCTCCCGGCCAAACTGTCAGCAAAGGCAAGAAGAAACCTAATTGCCAAAGAAATTCTCGGACTTCGCAGCCCCCCATGGCTCTCCCAGGCTCTCCTCTCCTCCCCCTGAAAGAGAAGTGGCAGCCGCGCAGCCAGGTGTTCCGTGTAGGGTAGGGGACCTGGTCCACGTCTTCCTCCTCCTCCTCTTCCTCCTCCACCCTGCCCGCAGGGGGTGTCCCGGGGCGCCCCCCGCGCGAGGCCCCGAGCGCAGGGCGCGAAGGTCCAGGCTGTCCAGGTGCCGGCGCCGCTGCTCCGGAGGAGGACGCTGCCTGCGGCGCCAGGGAGCTCCCGGCGGCGGTGGGCGAGCGGAATTGCATCCACCACCGCGTCCCGCTCGCGCGAGGACTATTCACTTGGGCCTGGGAGAGCGCGCGCGCAGGAGCGAGCTCGGGCTGTGGTTTGGGGGAGGGAAGCGAGGGGCGGGGGAGGGCGCCTCCGGGCGGGGAAGGGGGAGGGACCACCCGTGCTGTGGCCCGAGCCTCTCCGGACCCTAGTGTGCACCTGCGCAGCCCAAGGCTGAGGGAGGCTGCCAAAGAGCGGAATATCCGCGAACTTAACACTGCCCTACCCTGTCATAGCG